ATAGATGTGAACAAGAAAATCTGGATCAGCTACTCCAGCTCAAAGGAGACCTCAGCCTGGTTGGAGGTCCTTAGGATGGATGCTGCTGTGCAGAACTGGGGCCATGCTCTTCATAAAAAAATTTCTTCCCTGTGTCCAATCTAAGTCTCCCCTCTTCCCTCTGGACCCACTCTGAGATCCTTGTCTTTCATCTTGCTAGGACTCCAGAGGTGGATGCAGCTCTCCAAGTGGAGTTTCACAAGAACAGGAACAGTGGGGCAGAATCCCCCTCCTTGAAATGATGGCCACACTGCTTTTGATGCAGTCCAGGACAGGGTTGGTTCTCCGGGTTGTAAGTGCAGATTGCCAACTCATAACCAATTTTTCATCCAGCAGTCCTCCTCAGGACTGCTCTCAATCCATTCATCCCCAGTTCATGCTGGTAATGGGGATTACCTTGATCCAGAGACAGGACCTTTCACTTGGCCGTGTTGAGCACCATGAGAGTCGCCTGGGCCCAGTCCTCAATATTGTCAAGGTCTCTCTGGCTGGCATCCCTCATGTATCAACTGTACCACTCACTGTCATCTGTAAACTTGCTGAGGTTGCACTTGATTCCTCTATATATTGATGAAGATATTAAATAGGTTTTGTCCCAGTATACAGACTTATCAGGGAGACCACTCATTTCTGGTTTTCACTTAAACATTCAACATGTGACTGCAAGTCTTTGCATGTGACCATCCAGCCAATTCCTTATGCATGTGACAGTTAATCTATCAAACCCTTATCTTCAATTTAGTGGCAAGATTATTGTGGGAGACCATATCAAAGATCTTACAAATGTCCAGATAGATAATATCTGTTAATGACTTCCCTTGTCTACAAAAGCAGTTACTTCATTTTAGAAGGCCACTAGATTCATCAGGCAGAATTTGTCCTTGATGAAACCATACTTGCTGTTCCTTATCACATCTTCATCTTCCATATGTTTTGACATAACTTCCTGGAGGTTCTGTTCCATTATCTTACTACATATTGAGATGACACTGACAGCCAGCACCCTCCTTTTAACCCTTTTTTTAAATGGGTGTGATATTTCATTTTCCAGTCACTGAAGCCTTTCTTTTGTAGGATGCACCTACCAATTCTGAGGAAACTGATGTCATTGTAATGCCAATCTCAATTACTTTTGAAGGGTCATGATGATCAGTGGAGGTTCCTTAGGGGTTGGAAGAAAGCAAAGGTCCCCCGTGCCTTCAAGAAAGGTAAGTAGGGTTCAGAGAACTATAATTCAGTCAGCTGCACCTAAGTCTTGGAGAATGCAATGGAGCAAATAGCCCTGGAAACTTTTCCCAAATGTGTTAAAGGAAAGAAAGTGATAAGATTGGTCAGCATGGATTTACAACGGGGAAGTCATGCCTGATCAACCTTGTAGCCTTCACAACAAAAGGACTAGCTCAACTCGGGGTGGCAAAGGGGTAGCAGGGGGCAGTGAGAGAAGTGGCTGATGCTTATTCCAACTTTAGTAAGGTTTTCAAGACTCTCCCATATCACCTTCATACACAAAATGAGGAAGCGCGGAAGAGATAAGTAGTGTGCATTGAAAACTGGTGGAACCACTAGTCTCCAAGGGCTGTGGTCAGTGCCATGAAGTCAAGCTGTAAATCATTCTGCTGTGTGTCCCTAGCTCAAAGAAATTTGTATGCATGAGACTGGCACATTTATGATAAAATAATCTCTAATCATAAGTGTTTTAAACACAAGTGTCTCCGAGATTCCTTCAGAAAGAAAAGTACTAGTGCCAAGTAAACATTAATTCTAAACAATTTAGATCTTTATCTATGGTATTTCTCAGACATTGCTTCAGGCCTTTTTTTTCCAGTTAAAAATATCTTTCTAATAGTATGTGAAAATGAAACTTACTCAGAGAGAGAGACATCAGGCTCACAGTTTAGATTTTATGTAATTCAGTTTGAAAATAAATGTCATTAGAGAGTATGTGTACTTAGAAGTGAGCTTTAACGTTATCTTTTTTTGGTTTATCACAAATTGCAGAATTCCAAAAGAAGTTTTATGAATGTTATGCTACCCCCAACAGTGTAAATACATGGTTAGTTACACCTACACATGGCTTTCATACATCCTTAAGACCTTCAAAGTAAAATAAATTTTAATTTTGAAATACACAGGATCAAAGATAGAGCTCTGAGTAACTTGGTCAACTGAAATATTGCCATGTCCACAGCAGGGAGGTTGGAGCTAGATGACCTTTAGGTGCCTTTGAACCCAGGCTGTTCTATGAATATGATTCTATGAAATAAAACAAAAGCAGCTATCTGGACAACATACAAGAAAAACAAAGAGTTCATGCTGATGCAAAGCAACTGTAAAACATAGTTCATTTAAGCATTTTCTTTTTTAAGATATGATGAGTCAAAAAAAATATCCAAACAGAATGGTAAGGAAAGCAATGCAATCAACAAAAAGGGTAATACAGCTGAGAGGCTAAGTGGATCAAATCATAAAGACTAGTGGAAAGGAGGAAAAAGACAGAAAAAGAAAGGGGAACACAATCTACATAGGGATTCCATGAATCAGTTGTGTAGAACAGCAAATCTAGCAGCTCTGGGCCACCATCTCTGAGCTCAGATTTGTCAGTCTTCATTAATGGATTCTGAAATCTGAGTTTCTGTCATAAGTGATTGCTATGTATTTCCAAAACTATAACAGTCAGTGCTAATTCTCTCTGTGGTGAAGGTAAGTAGTGCCCTTGAGCATGGAATGATCTGGGAAATGAGTTATCATTCAAATGCTCAGAAGAGGGGATAGCATGCTAGTAGAGAAACAGGCACTGGCTTGTGCAGCAGTCATGGGTAATGCTTCATTTACTTCAATAGCTCTCTTTTTCCCTCCCTCTCCTTCCAAACTCCTTCCCAGTTACTGATTATTGCTGCACTGAGGTGAATTAGTGGTGCTTTAAAAAGAAGGGGAAAACAGCATAGTAAAACATCTAGAATGCAAAATATGAGAGGAACATACAGCAGTGAAAAATAAAATTGCTAAATTAATAAATTAAAAGCATAAACCTATAATATTACCACTTACTCTTCTGCTACATCTGTAACTTAACAGTACTAGCAACACATAGTACAGTTTTTCTTTCAAATGAAAAATTTAATTAATTCTTAATTTTAAAAAGTGTAAAAACACTATATGCATACACACAAAGAGATGAAGCAAAAGAAATTTAAAAAATTGTTTAACATAACCCCAGTTAAAGTTTACATTTATAAAATGCTTCTGTATCAGAGTGGCATCTCTGCCCTCAGCAGGGAGGTGGAAAATAAAAAAATTAAGGTCCCTTCCAGCCCATGATCCTATGAGTCTATAAATGTTTGCATTTATGTACTACCTGTTACGTACTTAATATTTTATTTGGGGTAGAATAGACACATGGAGAAAAATCAAATATTGAATATAAATTCATTGAAGTTGGGGTTGTAACTAGACACACCTTGCGGTATATGAACAACAGATATATTTTTATTAATTTATTAAGAAATTCTTCTATTGCTTGTTGTTCTAGAGCAAAACATGCAATTCAGCTCAAAGTAGCTTCAGTCACTGCAAAGCTGATTTCTTTAACAGAAATTAAATAAAATGGTGGCTTGATGTATGCATCAAATGTACCTTCATGTCATGACCAACAGAAGGATGTGACACAGTGACTGGTCCTTCTGGCTGATTTGAGCCATACACAGAGCTGATATGTTTAGTCAGGGAAATCATGTTAAATCCAGTGTAGAGCTGAAACTCCAGACTTCATATATGACATAAATTCCAACATGTCCCGCTTTGATCTGCTGATCCTTCCCTACTGGTTTGAAGTATTTACTAATGTAAATACAGTCCATAATTTCTGGTACTTTACATTCAAATTCCTGCCATTGATGGAAGGAATAACATATAACAAGGACAGTTCCAACTAAAATTCTTACTATGCACAAATTACCCTTATTTTTTCGCCACCAAATCAACTGTTTAATATCTCAAATCCACTCTAGAATTTATCTCTGAAGAAACACATCTCTCAATCTTTTTGTGTCATCAGGAGCTGAATTCTTTGTGATCCTCTGAGTGCTCCAATGTTCAACTCAATGTATCTTCATTGGTCCAAACTGGTTTTGACCAGTCTCATTTCTCAGTATGTTCTAGAAGATATATCCATTTTTCATACTAAATGAAAGTGAATTCATTCATTAATTTTGACACAACATCCTTGACAGCAGACCCCCTCAGTGTGGGATGGAATCAGAGAACCTGTGCAGTAGGAGCCAGAACACAGCAGAGGAATACTGCCCCCAGTTTAGACAGCTTTGTAAGACTAAACTTTGATTTCCTTGCTCTATTAAATCTCCTAGAACTATCAAACTGGATTTGCTGTGTCTGTATACTTCTCCCTAATCTTCTTCGACACAATTCTCTTTCTCTTCATATCTATTCATTGTTATTTCCCATCCTTGCTCATATTGTCACCAACAGGTGGACAAATCAAGTAAACCTTGGAAACGTGTTCACTGTAGCAGAAAACAAAAGCATCCACATAAAAAAAAAAGAAAAGCAGAAAAGAAAAAAAAATGTACATTGAATCGCAGTTTCATTAATGCACTCAGCCTTTAGCTGAGATTTTGTGAAGTAAATGGTCCAAATCAGGCTACAAAGACATTTGAAAATGCATATATATCTTAAGGCTCTGTATGGTATTTGGCTTTAGAACAATTATTGGAGAATTCAATTAATTTTGCAGAGTACTTTATGCTGATCTGTACATGTCATAAAAGAGAACTTCAGGCTAAAATAATGCTGTCTTTTGGCATGAACATTGCAAAGCAAAGCAATGTCTCCTGGGACAATCTCTGCTGCTAGCATTTCCTGTAGCACCTTGGGGGACTGGAGGGGAGGCAAAGGTGGGAGGGATTGTGTTGTTAGCACTGAATACCTTTCAACTCTACAATTACCTTTGAGTAATGGCTCTTGCGTAGCCACTTCGGGGTGGGATCCTTCAGCATAAAGGCAGCTTGTATGTGGTCAGTCTGAAAAAATAAAGAACTGTGTGGGTGCATTGACAAGTTAAAACCAATTAAGTTGTCATCAATGCTTTGCAATTCAATATTGTAATGTTCTGAATTACACAAAGTAAAATAACTTTATATAAAATTCCTGTTTGCATGATCTTAGGGAAAGTTCTGAGCACAGTGCTATTCATATAATCTGAAGAGAGGGATAACCTAAATGAACAAGACTGGTATTTCTAAATTACTAGTTTGGTCCAGTGAATGTAGTGAAGGGGAAGAAGATTTAAGATCTTAGAGATATTCTTAAATCTCACTTGTACCCACTGAGTAAAATATAGAGAAGTCCAAGTGCATCAGTAAATCTGCCTTAACAAATCCATTCTGCAGCTGGATAAAGCCATGTCATGGCAAATTACCAGAACCCAATAATATCTCTCTCTAAATTAAGTTAACAACTTGTTTTTCATTAAAAAAGCCACCAAACCTACAAAGTGCTAATGACAGAAAGAAGATAAAGGCTCAATGTTTTTGCCTCCTTCTTTAAATCTTCTTCATTTCATTGTGAGGACAAAGGAGAGAGGACCATTTTCCTGCATAGTTATCAGCGTCTCTAATATATGCCTTCACCCACTCAAGGAATCCATTTAGGATTTTGAGAAGGATTCAGTTGCCTAAATGTTAGTGTCTAATGACTTTTGAGGCATTCCAAGGAAGTAAAGATGTATCCATAAGGATGACAGATACCACACTGGACTTAAGAGGGAATTGTACCTTTCAGTAATAACAGCTGGGAGCTCATGAGCAAAAGCTTATACACAGAACTCAAGTGCATAAAGCTATCAAGGTATTCATACCTAGCCTGACTCTGTCAGGCACACAGATCATAATGACAGGTCTGATGAGTAGGTCTGAAGGACAGCAAGCATGAAATCATCTCAAAGAAGGAATTTCCTTCCTATCCTCCTTTCTCCTTCAGCAATGGGCTGTTGGCAGTACCAAATTCTGTTGATATTTAATAAAAGCTAACATCTGTGCCTTGCTTGCCTGCAATTACAGAGCTTCATCCTAGGGCCACTTTGGAGCTTCTTACAAGCACTGATGCTTGAAGCACAGCTATAACAAAAGAATGAACTGGCTGTTTTTCTGCCTCTGGCTACCTTCATTTGTTCTTTTTTATTTTTATCTGCCCCATATTTGCCTTATATTAAGGTTGGCCACCCTAAATGACCAGCCTGAAGCAATGGCACCCCTGTAGGAGACCATTTGATCAATCCTCTTTTTATGCAAGGCCTCCCAGGAGCAAAAAATATCAGTGAAGGATGCTTCCATGCTCCAATTACATGGAAAAACACATCAGCACAGCTAAAACACTGTCAGATCTGCTGAACTGGCTGGAGAGAATTATAAGGATTCTTTGTCTATAAGCCATGATAGATAATGTGAAAGTACAGCTTAGAATTGTTAACAGTGAACTCATTATAAGAAGGTTATCTCAGAATTTCTCTATAAAGCTTCTTTAGGGTTAAAATTCACTTCAGATCATGTTCAACATCTGTCAGCAAGAAGCAAAAGCTGGAGAAAAAAAAGTCTATCCAATTTTATCCATTCTTACCTCTCTAAGAGTCTTGCGGAACTGCTAGATGACTAAGAATAACTGATTTAGAACCTCACATTTAGAAAGAAGACAATATGAAATAAGGTAATAGAGGGAGGAAAAGAAAGTGTAAAAGGAAAATAAAACAGCTCAACTGACATCTGAGTTTTATTGAACCAGGCATGCTTTCACTATCTAGCAAGATTTCCTACTCACTTAAATTCAAATGTTTCTTGATTTTTCCAGCTCTAAATATTCCAGTTTTTCTGCAGTTCAAATGCTGGTCTTTCCTGAGTTGTCATTGTTAGTGATGATTATTTTTATAGATCATTATTAAATTAGATTTCATGTAAACAAAACATTAAAGTCTATTTTGCTACATAATCAACTATAGATATAACATAGAATTTCTTAAAACTGCTGTACATTAAAGCAGTTGATATATGTGTCTATTTCTATGCCTTTTATGTGCAATTTTTTAACATGCCTATATATTCACATATACTATGCTTTTTTTTGCAGACATTATGTAGGAAATAGTGAAGTTGGTATAAATTAAAATGAACTTTGGTAGATAAGTTTCTGAAATTTTGTTGGACTGTATTAATATAAACTAAAGATCTTGGTTTTCTCCATTTTGTCCCATAGTCATCCATGACATGATGGTCATAATGCTGTGAAAATTCATATTTTAAAAACAAGGCCTTTCCAAAATATTCAGGCAGAAAAATGGTAGTACATTTGAAAATTCTGAAATTTTTGGTTTTGAATTCTATTCCGTAAACTGGCATGTGCAATATCAAGAAGTATTATCAATCCAGCTCAGAAATGTATATATAATTTTCTGTGCAAACAGACAGATAACTGCTTTTTTTTCCTGCTGTACTGCAAAATGTTACTCTGGGGAGGTGTCTGATATTCCCATCACAATAGTCAAAGCCAGGCTTAATGTAAGTTATTGCAAGCAAGAGAAATAGGCTACTTGCATGCCAAGAATTCAAGTTAGATCCAACACTCTCTGAAACACAGCAGATTTTTCCCCTTTCCCCCTAAGGACCTCCAGGTTATTCAGCAAATGGAGCTGAACCACTCTACCATTTTTCAGTCAGTGTGAAATAGGCCCTAAATGGAAAAGCAGTCAGGCTGTGACACAAAACTTCAGACACTGATTTGTCATCCAGTTCAATGAAATGCTTTACTGAAGAGCACTGAGAAAGTAAATTTCTTTTTATATTCATATCTTCAATTAATTGCACATTCAGTTTCACCGCCAAAAAAAAAACCCAGAACAGACAATCACTACTGATGAGCACTGGGTCAAAGAAAAACTGAGCACACTCTACATCTGAATTATTCTCTTTAATTGAACTTATTTCTTAATAGCAACAAATAATATCTCCTTTCTCTGCTCATAAAAAGCATTTATGTCTGCATCTTCAAACCCTAGATTCACTAAGGACTACATAAGTAAGTCCATTTTTTATAAACATGAACTTGATTATAATATATTGTTTATATATTTTGAGTAATTAATATAATTTTATGACCCTCTTATAAAAGTCAGAACTATAGGATACTTGTAAAGAATGAGTAGGATCTTTTCTTATTATTATTTTTAATTAAATACAACATCAAGTCATTCATTCTAACCCTTCTTAAATCAGTAATTCTTCCTCAGAAAATATGGCTTCCTAATATACAGAATGAGCTGGATTCAGAAAAAACCCTTTTTTTATCTAAAATGTCAGAAGGTAGGTCCGTTTCTTTGAATAGTTGTAAGGCTAGAAATTAGAGCTCTATACCACTGGAAAGGATCAGTTTCCCAGTTTCTAACTTTGGAGCATCCCAAGATACTGGATGTTAATGTCATGACATTTTAGATGTAGAGAAACTCTTTTAAGCTATATTTAGAGATTTCAAAGGCTCCCTCTGTAACCTTCACACAAGTGGACCCACAGTAAACAGGGAATCTAACTTTACCTTAACAGCATGAAATAATCCATAAACATACTGTAATGCTTTGATATGCACCTAAAATAGTTTATTCTTAACATATGCGGCATGTACAGAAAACATGATTATGTGATTACACATTAAAGGTTTTACCACCATAAATGTAGGTCATCCAGAACAAATAAAACTGATAGCAAAATTTTTCACAAAAGGTAGCCTAAAGTGAAAATTTTCAGTCCAAGCTTAGAGTACTCAAGAAAAAGTCAGCATTTTTATTTGTTTGTTTGTTTACCACAGAGCTAATATTTCTCTTTACACTTGCAAATTTTTCATTGTAGAGAAATTGTAGAGACAATAATATGGCATTTGTCCCCACCCTCCATGAAAATTTTGTGGTCCTTACTTCAGCACCAGTGGTTCTACACCAAAAAAAAAAAAAAAAATCCAAAACTATTGATGAAGAAACATAGGCATTGGTATTTGTATAACATTTTGTATTATCTTCTGCTGTATAGCTGTTTCTTTTTTCACCAGTATATCTTAAACCGAATTGAGAAATACACATGACTTTAGAAGGTGGATAGACAGGAGCTTGGGCCCTTTTGTTTATAATTTTATTTTCAAATAAATGAATGGGCTTTTTAAAGCCCACTAGCATTGGATTTCTTAGATATTCTTCATCATCTTCACCCAGTTTATATAGTACCTCTCACCTAATTATAAAATAGGTTCCATCCATAAAGAATTAAATTGAGCAAAATAATAATAGCCTAAGAGTTATTTTGGTTACCAATATTTGTAAAGGGGTTATATTTAGGTCAGATTCTCCTGTTTTCTCCTTGTTCATGGGAACAGTCATTTATTCATTGTTCAGGCTAGAAAGAAAAAAATACTATCTTACATATTTCCCTTAGACTAATATTATTTCTATGACAGAAATTCCTACCACAAATCTCTTAAGATTTGATTCTTTATGAATTAAAGAGTAAACCATGGTCAAATACCCCACTCTCTTACCTGATGAAATCATATGCAAAGCAGCAATGAATTTTCATTAGTTTGAAAGAACATATCAAGCATGTCTTATTTCTTCTTTTTCCTCTACAAATATTATAGAATCATCAATATGCAGGCCTATCATAAGATGCATGTTACATTATAAATGCTGTTACTCAGCAGAATGCTTAAAATTTAGGCAGCAGACCTCCCAGAAATTCAGCAATTTAGAGATAGTCTTGAAAAGCACTGCAAAAGTAGATGTTCACGCACAACCAGTTTTCCCATAAATGAGGTTAATTTGTGTTAGCAAACTGTCAAAGAACCTGTCATATTCCATTGTCTTTCCAAGTATAAAAAAGTTAAAAAGAATACAAGACTGAAATAATACCCCACAGGAATCCTGGGCAACAAAGAAAATCATCTGGTTTTTAACTTCATAATTTTAAATTACATTTACATCTGATTTTAAGGA